ATAAAGAACAGCTTGGATATATAGTGGGTTTTCAATGCCATGTATAGGAAGGTATTTGAGGTTTCGAGTGCGTAGGTTATAGGAGACAACGTCCCCATCAGTGGCCGCCAGAAGAAGCTCGTCATTCTTCCAAAATATCAATGGAATCTCAATCCTTGGTACAGATTCGATTGTTAAGCGTTTCTTACTCCATGGACTTTTTACCCCATCACTAGAGTCATCCATCACCCATATATCAAAGATAGAAAGTCCAGTTCCTTCATCTTTGCGGTAGCAGAACAAAGCAATGGATTCCTTCCATATTGCAAGACTGCAATTCCATGCAAATCTTTCCAGAGAATCATACGGAACTGGTATCTTATCAAATACCTCCTCACCCATATCAAATGTAAGGATGAAATCATTATTTTTTAGATCAGTAGCAAACCAATGATAAACACCCTTGAAGTAGACATAAAAAGAAGGTGTCCAGATGACGGAAAAATCGATCTCAAACTTGACCTCTCTCCAAGAATCAACACCTAAAGTGTATACCTCTGCTATTCTAGGCCCCGGCAAAAATTTCACAATTCTAACAACCTTGTATGCTTTAGCTTTGGAATCATACCCAAATCCAACGGCATTGGTAATGGTATCCACTCTATCAGCAACATCTGGTTCTGGGGGAGGCAGGAGAAGACAAGGCTGGGGAAGAAGCTGAAATTCCATGGTCGCTGGATTGACTAAACCAATATCCTCGGGACAAAAGTGAATACTTAGACAGAAAATCCCATCACAGTAACCCACAATTTCAAAATTAGGGGAAGATACACTCAACAAAGGATACGTAACACTAAGATCCTCAACACAGTCATCACTATTGCTAAAATCCTCTGAAACATTAAGCAATGACAATAAAACGTGCTTCCTATGATCCCTCAGATTGTTAACAGTATGTTTTACAACAATGCTGGTGGAGGAATCTGATTTCGAATTCGAGTTAGAAAGGTGACTTGCCACAAAGCTAGGACTATCAATTAGATCACACCACAACTTACGGACACATTTGAATCGCATCAAGGATTTAGGTGGCAATCGAGACAAGATTTGCACCACCATATCATCCGTAAAATTACACGACTTTGCCATTAACTAACTAATTAATTTCTCCTCCTCTACTTTTCCTTTTATGCTTTTCAGCAAATTAAATAAGGCGGAACAATGATGGAGCAAGATCAAGGGAACATCTTACCTTGGATTTCCGATCGTGCTGAGTCCAAGAGCAGGAATTTATTAAACTTCAAAATCCACTCAAATTCCTCTTTGGAGCAACTGAGATTCCTTCATTTCCAAACACTCATTGTTTCTTCCTTCCACTCGGCTCTGACTAGTCCCTCTGTTATAGTCAATGCTCAGTCATACTGATATTTCTCTCTAGGGTTTCTTCTCCTTTTGCTGCTGTTTGATGATGGAGCGGGTTCAGGCCTCCTTTGGACTTTTATAACCTAAAAAGGAAAAAATATATTGTCCAAATGTGGGTGTCATTTATTATCTGTCTCGAGAACATACTTTACGTTACAAGTTACATCAAGAGAGAAGTGCACAATAACCCATATATATATATAGGACATGATTTCCGCACACCATTTTCCTTTTTTTGCACACCCTAATTATTTCTGGGTATTATACTAAATAAATCCAAAGGAGAACCACGGAGCAGAAATAAACAGGGTCTGTAGGTGGAGGAATGGGGTGTGCAGAAATCATTTCCCTAAATCAAGAGTAGTTTAACGATTTCCCACTAAATTAACATAAAGGGCCAATTTCCGCATACGGCCATGTTTCCCCGTACTTCATCTAACTTTCTATTGAAAATGTCACATTTAAAAAAAAAAAAAAAAAAAAAAAAAGAGACAATAATAAGATTAAGAAAGGAAATATAACAAACACAAAAGAAGATTCAATGACCAACATGTGACTTAATGGATGGAATTTGGGCAAATTTGAAGCTAGGGAGAAACTATCTATTCATAGTATTTTACGGAAAAAAATTGGCCACACTAAAACTTTATGGGTAATATCGGCAATGGGGTACAGGTTAAGGGGGGAAATCAGCGAATTACTCTTCTTAAATGTATGGAGAAACTGAACTCAAGTAAAGCTTTAGGTTAGTGTCAATTGTGATTAATTGAAACAATGGAAAGTAAATGGACGAAAACATGGTGGTCAATAATCTGCAATGAGAGAATCTCTCTTGAAAAGATATTTTTGAAGCACTACATCCAACTAAAGGAGACGGAGAGAAGATAAATTTGGCTTGCCCAGTGTTCAGCATAATTATAAGGTTAGTGTTCTGCAGTTCTACGTGGATCTACTTAAAAAGCTTCCGGTAAAACTGCTTTCTAGAGAAGCATTTCCAAACAGACCATGGATGTACTAGTTTACAGGATTTAAGCCAGTCAGTCAAGAGTTAGTTTTTACTCACCCCATAACCCTTGTATAGCTTACGCCCCTCTAGATTGTGCCACATGTTTAAAAGACAAAACACAATTAGTCTAATGCATTTACTTATTTCTTACCAATAATTAAGCAATAAACTTACCATTCAAAACCCCACTGAGTGAGGTTTCAAAACATAATTCATTAAAATTACATGCTGAATGTTGTTGTTAAGGCCTTGCAAGGCATGATAGTGATCGGAATTGGGGCTTTTGACTTTATAATTGGTGCAGCTCTCTATTCATTCAGAAGCAGCAATCTGTAATGGAAAGAGATCAAGAGTTTGTCATTGAGCAAATTTGACACCGTATTCTATATACAAGCTCAAAGTAGCCACTCTTCAGCATCCTAATTTTGAGACAACATAAAAAATTCATATGATCACCTATCAAATTTGCCCCACCTAGTCAGAAATCATATTGCTATTTAGCCTAATGAAAAATTCAAAAGTTAGTTCACATCAAAAACGACATTCACTACTTTTATTTATGAGACAATGATGCCCTATTAAATGGCGGCTCAGTTTACTCTCGAGGATTGCTGATTAAGTAAGCTCGAGAGGAACGGGTCTAAACTAGACAAGAGGTGTAAACTATTCAAACTATGCACAAGAAGGATATGGTTAGTGCTTACAAGGAACTTTCTCTTCAGGTTGCTTTCGGTTGCACAACTCCGACATCAGATTATATACTTCATGGCTTAGTGTTTGGATCTTCCCCCGGGCTTGGCAATGACCGAAGTGGATGGTCGGAAGGGCAAGTCTTGTGAAGTTGCCATTGCCCCACTGGCCCTGCCTTGACCTCTTCCTCTTGTCACAGTTTGCGAAGACGATGGCAATGCAGCAGATTGCTGAGTGAACTCCATTCGCCTTGATCATGGCATGGCCTGACTACCTCTTCCTCTTCCTCTTCCTCCCCACACATAAACCCTAACAACAATATCAAACTAAGCCTTAAGTTAACAAAGTAGATTATGCATGTACGATTTTCTCAGTTACTGCTCGAGAAGAGGATGCAAATTGAGTTTCATCGCCTTTGCCTGCGACTCTCCCATTTCCTCTGCCCATTGGTCTAACTCTTCCTCTACCTCTTCCCGATTGAATGAACAAGCAACGCTCGCTCGCTCGCTCTAAATTTGGGTTGTGATCATGAAATAAATGAAACAATAGGAAAGTGTACTGTATCACTTAAGAAATGACACCCAAATCGTCCTCCTCATCATCCTGCTCGCCACCAACAAAATGCCTGACGGCAATGCGGGTGGAGGAACTCAAATTATTCGAATTTGAGAGGTGGCTGGCCACAAAGCGACTATCAACCAGATCACGCCAGGACTCGTGGACGCATTTGAACCGCATCAGCGGATTTAGGTGGCAACCTTGACAGGATTTGCGCCACCATATCATCCGACAATTTGCAGGAATTTGCCATTAATTAACTAATTAAAGAATAATTAACTTGTCGCCCTCCTCTTCCTCCATCTCTACTTTCCTTTAATCTTGAGCAAAACAAACTGGAACGATGATCGATGAAACTGTTACCTTGATTTTCCGCTAGCGTCGACAGCGTCGAGACCAGGAGGACCCACTCAAATTCCTCACCGCGACGCGAGCGACCGGGAATCCTTCGTTTCCGAGCACTCCTCAGCTTCTTCCCTTCGTTCTTTCCGCTTGGTTCTGAGGACTGTAGTCACTGTTTTTTAGTCAACGCCAGTCAACGCATACTGACAGTGATACTGACAATGCTCTGTACTCTGTAGGTTTTCTCTTCGTTTCCAAACACTGGTCTTTTGCTGTTTGCCGCCGTAAGGCTCGCGCTTTCTGTTTTGCGTAAACTGGTTCGGGCCCATTTCGGGTCGAGCATTTGGGCTTTTACGAACTAAAAACATTTGGAAGGTGGTTTTTTTTTTTTTTTTTTTGGTCCGTCTCAATAATATTCTGCTTAAGTGCTTTCCGAATAGGTAAAAGCACTCCAAAAAATTTAAAGTGCTTCTTACAATATTTAGCGAAGATATATTAAGTGTTTGCGGATTAGGAATATTAATTTTTTTTCTTGAAAGTAAGCAGATATTGAGTGCTTTCTTAAAGAAGCACACATTGAATACTTCTCGAAACAAGCATTTGGAATTTTATTCACACGTTTAACAAAAGCACTTCTATTGATCAAGAGAAGACGTAATTTCGAGTGAAGCATCTAAGGGGCCCTTCAAGTTAAGAGCTTGTATAACTCGAGTACACTGCTACTGTAGCGTGCATGCATATGAAGTTCTTTTGCAAACTATATCAGCCTGCGGAAGTACTCCAAAGTTAAAAACGCATGCATTGAAGTTCTTCCGCAAACTATATCAGCCTACACAAGTACCCAAAGCTAAACGTGTGCATTTGAAGTTCTGCAAACTATATCAACGTGCGGAAGTACATCTTCTCGTGATGCATCCAGAACATCTTCTCCTTTGTCAAAGAGAGAAATAAATAAAGCAATTAAAAGAGCTGCAATCATCAAGCAAATTTGACACTTGATGCATCCAGAACATCTTCTACTATGTCATAAATCTGCAACCATATCCTACATACAAGTTCGGTATCCTACTTCCGAAACAAACATAAAAAATTCAATCCGCTATCAAATTTTCCTTCACCTAGTCAGTAATCGTCTTCTGTTTAAAAGTAATGAACGATTCAAAATTAAGTTCCACCTCAAATACGAGACCAGTGGTGTAAGGACAACACTGAACGAAACGAGAGGAGTGATTAGTATCTCAAACTATGCACAAAAAGGATGAAGTTAGTGCTGCTGCAAGAATAGATCATGTGGTTTTCATTTGCTTGACTGGGAACTTCTCTTCAGCTTGCTTTTGCCACATATAGTTTGCAGCTTCAATCCACTGTTTATTAACTAAAAACTTCTTCTCTTTGACCGCCCATTTAGACTTCTCTGTGCCAGCATCTCCTGAAACCACATGTGTCACCGATGGGTCCACTTGTGTCGAACAAGAGGCTCCCAACTGCTCTGCCATCTTCCAGAGAGGTTGATTCTCAGCCTCGACATTCGAAGGAAATTCGTGGCTGAAAACAATTTTACACCCCTTTAACACATCCTTCTTAACAGTTTTCAACACCTACAAAAATAGCATCCAGAAGAATCCATACTAAATAGTAAATTTATGAAGCTAAAGGAAATAGTCATGTTTTAGTGGTTCTGAAAAAACTTGTTCACCTGTCTCACATCTCTTTCAACAAGATTATCCTCCAATTCCTACAAGATGGCCACCAACAATAGATTAGCACACAAAGAAAATGTAACTATTTGCCATCATAAAGACATAAAGTGGTACTTACATGAAAGAACATGTTGTGGACTCGCTTAAGAACTTCGAGAACAGTTATAAGAGCTCCTTCAGGTTCACTTTCGTCACTTCTCAACTCAGAAAGGGATTTACAGCGAAACCCAAATTGTTTACAGCTCGAACTGAAGAAATGATATCTTTCCATCAATATTAAATTGTCCTTGTGCTTTGTCCAGGCCTACAATAGTGGATATCAACATTGATAACCCTTCATAAGATAAACAACAAATTTAAAAGACCATTAAACTGATAACCAGGCATCTGCATCCAATCATAAAATTAGGATAAATAAAGATTTCTCTGGAAGCATATATATCTGTTAAACGATAATCAATGGGGCAACTATATGAACAATAAATCTGCGTCATAATGAGAACGTGCTATGAAAACAGCTTCAAACAGATCTCATCGAGGACAGTTTTATTTAGACTCTAAAATCAGTTGGCTCCCTAAATTTTATTTTAAAGTATCAGGAAATCCTTGATTGATGGACATGAAATTGCCGACCTAAATCTTCTAGACCTAACAAATAAAAGTGACACTTAAAATTACCGCAAAGTGGAAACCACAGGGGTGCAACTTTGGGATCACAATAATCAAATTAACAAAATAATAAAAAGGTTTAGATGGTTATGAATGCACTTCTAATTTTCAGTATCATCAAGGGAAAAGAAGTTCTTACATTTTCTGTATCGTCAAGGATCACAACTGCATTATCTTGTCCAAGCACAATATCTAGACCTTTTTGATGTTTTTGGGTACCATCATCACGTGATATAACCCTATCCCCAAAGTATTCTTTCCTTGGATCAAGCAGCCTAGCCATTTCCAGCGCATAAGCTCGTTCACCCATTGTGTATATGTACATCTCAAACATTTCACTAGCCTCTTTTAAAAATGTCCTAACAAAGGGCCTCAACTTGGTCATCATATGCATAATGTCTACTCTGAATAGGCTACCTTTTGAAACATCTACAAGTATCATATTGGAACCAGAGTTAGAAGATGTAAGTAACTGGGCAAAAATAATAAGAGGATGAAAGGGCATGCACACATGATAAGACGTTCAATGAATTAAAACAAATAAAACCTAATCAACCTTGTTTTAAGCTAGAAACAGGTTACTGGAAGCAAACGAACAACTTTGTAACTGATTAAAAGTAGAAACCTTTCTCTAGTTCACAAAATTTCAACAGGAACAGCATATGTATTTGTAAGGTAGGAAATATTCTTCTAAATTACTTACTTTGAAGATGTATAACAGGAGAGAGTACAACAGCTCACAAAGAAAAACGTATACACTAAAATTTAATAGCTAAATATGTTACAAAAGCAAAAACACAAGAAGGGAAAACATTACATACCTTGCAGAGAATCTATTTGACCATGTAAATATTCCTCATCAGCTGACATATGATTCAGATGGGTAGAATTAAGCAGTGTGTGATCCAGATCAAGGACCAAGTAAAGCTTCTTATGGCGCAACGACTTCTTAATGTCTGTTTTGCGTAACCGGTCAATTTCTTCATTATTAAGCCTTAATCCCTGCAATAGATACCAATAGATTAGGTAGTTATTCCACATATTATGAGCAAATGGATACATGAAAACAGTTGACTTTCTTTTTAAGAATAAGTTTATATTTTACATTAGGGATCAGTAATTCCTGAATTACAAGTTAAAGGTGACTGGAGTCGAATAATGCCTCTAGAATTGATTGTACGCATGTATGCTACCAATATTTAAGTAAAGACATACAAATTCTTCTATCCACCTCCACCAACCAGTCATCTAAAGGCGTACCTTGTGTATGTACCCAAATATCACACTAGAGTTGTCATCCACCGGCTGCCCACAGACGATACACATATCTCCAAATGAACCAGGATGAGTACAAATGTCCTCCTTCGTGGATGCTTCTGCGTATAGTAGCATGATGAATACAACATTTTGTGTTCAAGAGAAAAAAACAAGATGTGCACATATATCCTTTGAGATTTGAGCAGAAACGTTTTCTATGATGGAGGACATTCCAAGAAACTGATCATTTCCTTAGTGTCTGCCCAGTTAATTTTATGAAAAAGACAAGAAAACCCTTTCATCCCTTATATTGAGTTAAAACTATAACTAAACACAGAGGAGAAAATATGTTCAAGGAAGTATTAAACTCCATAATGACTACATCTAACTCTTCAGCTTTCATCAATCTAAAGAGTGAGACAAACAGACCAAAAGCCAGATGTACAGAGTTAGAAAGAAAAGAAATTAAGCGCAATTGTAAGTCTACAGAACAAGGTCTCGCTACTAACAAAGTTGCTCATTATTAGAAACGTTTCTCGCAGAGCACAGAGTTGGAAGGGAACAACACGTAACAAACCAATCCAAAACACTATCCAACTGAGTCAAAATAGTTACCTGAGTGTTCTTCTACAAAAACTTCTGAAGTCGACCCAGGAATTTCCTCAGTGCTTCCAAACTCTACCTTACGCCTCTTTGCACTGCACGGTAATGCAGAAGTTGTATTTTAAAACCTTTGAACATACCCAACAGTTTTATAGAAACTCTGATATCTAATAAAAACTCATACACATTAAACATAAAAGAACAACGAATTTAGCACCTATTACTATCAATCTCGACGTCACAGTCATCATCAGCTTCTTCATCCGGTGAGGACCCCGGAGAACTAGAATCCAGGGCACTCTCAAGAAACCCAACAAAGTCGTCACTGCTAGACGAGTGTAGTGGTGAATCGGCAATACTCATCTAAATTATTCACGCCAAAAGAAAACTCCTTAGCATATTTAAATTAACAGAAAACATAAAAAATTCTAAGAGCACGAATCGGAATATTAAACCCTTTCTCAACTCTCTCGCAGCTCATTAATAATTATTAGCCAATAAACAACAATAATCGCCGGAATAAGCATCCGCATTATGATTTATGAGTACCCAAACCATCGAACAAGAAAATTCGTAAAACCAAAACATTGATAGATCAAGTGATTAGAAAGCAGCTAAATAATTTCTTTCCCGAAATTAGGGTTTATGAAAAAAAATCAGGCTTAGAAACGTTAAAGAAACGAGAAGGAACCAAGTAGCGAACATACCGCGACGAAGAATTCAAATTTGGGTGCGAGAACGAAAGCTTGGCGAGAGTGTTGGATGATGCGTTGGTGACAAAACTATACAATCAATCGATTGAAAGAAAATTGCAAGAAAAATAAGAGAGAAACCCAACAACTACAGAGAGAGAAGAAGAAGAAGGAGAAGGAAGAAAACCTGGGATTGCGATGGCAACGGGAGTGAGGTTGCAGATCGACGCGTGAGAGAGGCAGACCGAGAAACGAGACCGAGAGAACGAGACGAAACACCCGACTAATACATTCTTAGGTACAGTATTGTATAGTCACGTTTTTTGTTTTGGATTATATTTTTCCTTTTCCGAAGAGGTCGCTTAGCTCTGGTGATCCAGTGATAAAAAACGGATTATCTTTCTTAAAATAAAAATTTGGAGGTCTTGGGTTGGAAATGTGGCAGCCAAAATTGTGATTAACCAAGGTTGAAATGCTTCTGTGAATCTTCTTGGGTCCCCCAAAAAAGTGGATAATGCCATCAATTGTTCCCCTTAAAAAAAAAGAGGAAGGTCGCTTATTCTTGTTTCTGTAATTCAAAACAAAATATCATTGATTCGATATTAAAGTGGGTATTATCTGACTAATAGTACTCTTTTGAAAGATAAATTGGTATGTCACACTGTATAAAACAATATGGGGACCCAATTTAATTAATAAGAGTACTATTTAGTACATTACTACATCAAACATCAAAATTCGATTATTTATTCTAAATAATCAAAGATTTTAAAAAACGCTATGGATGGGGGCATAAACTTTAACATCTGACATGGATATTTATAACAGTAATCTGATTGTTTATACGCGCTGCCAAATGAAGCTCGATATTCTCTTGGCGCACTAACCAGGAACGTTATTAAAGGTCAAGTTAAGCTCCAATATGCACAAATGGCAACTTTTACAAATAATCTTCAATATAAAAATAGGGTTTCCATTGCAAATAACTCATTTACTATTTCGTACTCCTTATTCGGAATTGAAATTCCACTTATATAAGGAAAAAGATTTCCTTTCTAGATTCCTCACATTATTCGGAATTGAAATACCGTTTATATCTAGAGAGTCTAATTCCTCTACAAAGAGAAATAGAATTCTAAAATTTGTGTGAATCCCACTACTTTTTTTATTCACCAATATTTAATAAACACTGAAACACTCCGTAATCAGAATTCAATAGTAATAATGGCACTAAAGTAGAGTGGTAACAAAATACACGATAAAACAGACACGTAATAAGACCGAAGTGAGTGGTAACAAAATACACCGGATGGGGTTTCTGTGGGCAGTTGAATAGCCTCCGATTGTCTACACTCAAGAATTTGTCCTCCATTTTAGGGGTGGAATTTTTTGCCAAATTACCATACCAAGATTGTGCCAAAAATATTTGTATCATTAGTAATGGTACGGTATTTGTACTATACCATACATTTTTTGTACAATAATGGTATTCAAAACCATTACCAATGATATACCATACCGTACTATTATTATTAATATTATATAATTTATTTATTCATTTATGTATAATTAGGTATTATTATCCTTATATATGCACTTTATATTTTTTTCCTAATCATTTATTCAATCATCTCACCATCTAACCTCTACTTTCCCAATAAAAAAAAACCTAAACCTTCTTACTTTGCGACTCTTCATCTTTTCACTCATCTAACCACCAATTTCATCTCTGTGCTCCAGTTTTGGCGACTTTCTCTCTTCGGAGTCCATCTCATCTTCTCCTTCATCAAATTGGGATCTTTCTCCACTTCATCTATCAAGTTAATTTTTGTACAATTTTAAAGAATGTAGAGAGGGAATTTAAGAATCTTTGTACTATTTTTTTTAGGGATGTTGGATTCTTTCAACAATTTTTCTATCTATTTACTTCTTGTTTCTTAAATGAATCTCTATAAAATTCTCATAATTAAATAAAAAAGTTTTAGAAACCCAAAAGGAGTGATCAAAACACATTTGGGCTTGAATTGGGTTGGAAAAAAAAAATTCAAATTTTGACTTAAAACAAAATGGTAATTACCATTATCATACTATATCAACCGAACTATCTGACATACCGAAAATTCGGCATACCAAAAATTCGGCAAGGTGATGCTAATAGATTTTGTCATACCAAAAATTTGATATGATAATTGGTACATAAGTTTTGGTACTATAATCGTATTAATACCACCCCTACTCCATTTAACTTAGTAAAGTAGAATAAACACATTTAGTAAAGCTATACAAAGAAAAAAGGACCACTACTACAACGTTATTTTCAGGCGGTCCTCCCTTTGATCCAAATCCAAAAGCAACATCTACATCTCTTTATTATTTTGTAGCTTTTTTTTCCTCCAAGCAGCTGTTTCAAGCACTCAATTGATGCTTCAATTATTAGTGTTTATTCCATTTTTTTCAAACCATTGAGAAGATATGGTCCTTCAAAGCCGCCTCCTAGTTTCAGTTCCTTGATGTTAACTTAAGGAAATGAAAACTCCATCCATAGATTCATAACACCTTTATTAAGAAAGGAACAAACTCCACCCTATATTTCATGAGAAAATCGGTCATATCACCGGTCATGTACACAACCTTGTATACAACCGGTAACACCCCGAGAAAATCAGTCATATCACAGTTGTATACAACCGGTAGCACACAAGCAAATCGGTCATATCACCGGTCATGTACACAAACATGCATGCAACCGGTAACACACCGAGGAAATCAGTCATATCACAGTTGTATACAACTGGTAGTACACGAGAAAATCGGTCATATCACCGGTCATGTGCACGACCATGTATACAACAGGTAACACCCCGAGAAAATCAGTCATATCACAGTTGTATACAACTGGTAGCACACAAGAATCGGTCGGCTTTACAATATATGACTTGAAGTAGCAGGAAAGGAAATATCTCACTAAATCATGACACAAGTAAAACTCGAACATTCGATAAACACAACTCAAAGGCGAAAGTAGATATGTAAACTTGATAATATGTACATTAGTAAAAATGTTGGTCTCTGAGACTGATCGACATATTATCACGGTTTTAACTCGCACGTAACATAGTATAACAACACTATGGCAGGCGATACATTCTTGTAAAGTACCTGTACATTAAACGCTGTACATGACATTCATCGCGATTTTCTTGCTTTGTAAACCCTTCACCAGAAGCAGGGTGCGTCCTCCTCGGGCATGAAAGGAGTCCTACAAAGAGGGCATGTAACGTTCCAGTAATTCAACCACTTCTCTAAGCAATTTTGATGGAAAATATGGCCGCAGGACAAGTGGTTGATCTTCGATTCAGGTTCAAACTCGGTCAGGCAGACTGAGCATTCGTGTTCCTGCTGCTTGAAGCTACACACAGATTCGAACCGAATTGCTGGGATACTGCTCCTGATCTCCTCGATGTAACTAGCCGAGGGACTGACATGAAACTCAAATGATTCTGAGCGGTTTTCAGAGGAGTCTGCTAACGGTGGAGAAGATGATGAGAGACGGATACCAACTAATTGCAGGACTGATCGGATTATCCCTTTGATAATGGAGACTGATAAGGCAGTGTTTACTAAAAGCACACATAGAACACCTTCCGATGGAGCTGGTAGACTAGAGAGACCCATGTGATCAAAACACAAGTTAAACCGGTTCGAATAGGATTGTCAAGATCGTTGAGGGGCAGTGGAACCAGAAGAACGGGCAGAGACGCGAAACGGGAGACGGATTATTATATCAATTTGATGAGTAAGAGTTTAGTCAAATGGAGATGAAAATGTCACCGAAATCTTCGTGTCAACCGACCTGCAATGCAATCAAGGAAAGTATTAGAATTTATACAAAGAAGATTGAACCATGATATCGAATTATCGATATCCTTCAGCATAAAAAGCTTAAAATTTCGCAGCGAAATTCTGGTTCTGGTTTAACACAAATGATTATTTGATCGAAGAGATTTCATATTCTGTTCAAGAGAATTAACAAAACCGATCTGCAGCAATAACTAAACTTTATATCCTAGACTTTACAGAGAGCAGAACCAATTATTTCCTCAAACCCAACAGAGTTCTTAAAAACTCAGAAGATCAATACCAAATGGAAGAAAAGACACATAAAGCAAGCAACTTGATCTCACCCCACAACCCAATTTCCTAAACCCAACATACCCAGCAACCAAATGTATCATAAGATGACTTGAGATCTAGAGTTCTTCAAATTAATCGTCCAAAACCCATTAAAAATGCATTCTTTTGATTACTAAACAGAAGAAATGAACAATTTGGAAAAATAAACCCAGAAAATAAAAATGAATAAATAAGCAGAAAATAAAAGTCTACAGCTTCAAAAATGGCTGAGAATTTAGACTTACACAGAGTGAGGCTTTAGGAGCTTCAAGCTTTTGGTCCTGACAGAAACCGAGTAACATCCAGAGGAGCTGAAGGAAGAAGAAGAAGAGATTCTAGGGATTATAGGCAGCGGTCATACACATACAAATACAATCAGGTTAAATATATTTACAGTTTTTGTTTGACAATGGCTGCTCTGCACAATCAGTTCTCACCATATTTATAGCAAGAGAGCCATCCCACACCGAGGATTAGCGGCAACTTAACCAAGGTTCTCTAACCATGGTTACTTTATTTCAACATCCCCTTCTTCCGTTTACAGGCCTTTTTAACCTGTTTTTCATCCCCTTCTTCCGTCTTTTGCGGACTCCATTTTTCTGTTAACCATGGTTACTTTATATCAACATCCCCTCCTTCTGTTTACAGGCTTTTTATAACCTGCTTTTCATCCCATTTTCATATCTCGGCTTTCATGTCTTGTTTTGGTAAACATTCTCTAGTTTTACTTGCCAAATTTATCTTCGTGGAGCTTTGTGTTCGATTTACAAGTTCAAATCTTCTAGGTCAAAAATCTTTTCTGACTCTTTGGGTTTATCCATTTGAGTAACACGTTTTTCTTTTTAACTTAATTGTCTTTAGTTTTAACTAGCAGAAAGCATACACGTTGTGTGTTTGTGAACAATTTCTCTTAATAAGAGTATATTTTTTTTAATATTACATAATTACTGTTTTACCCTTCTTATGTAAATATTGTGTATCAAAAGTGAGGGTAAAATTGAAAAAAAATATGATTGTTATTATCTCAAAAAAAAAAGAGGGTAAAAATAGGAAAAATAAGGATATGGTTATCCTTTTGTCAAAAGATACAAAATTACTATTTTACCCACCTCATGTCAAATCGTCTATTCAAAAATGAGGGCAAAATTGAAAGAAAAGGGGACAAAAAATTGACAAGCTCTCTTCTCTTAATAGAATAAATAGATTTTTTTTAGGAAATAAGTTAAGATTTAATATTATTATGTGTGGTTTAAATAAAGGTGGTGCTTTTGTTAAAAAATAAAATAAAGGATAGTGCTATCCAAGCAATTCATTTTACTTTTTACACGTTACTTTCAATTTTGGCCACCAGATCAAATGACTTAAAGAATATCAAAAGATAAAAATGGTTTTTTAGCTAAAATGGTCCCTCATATTTGTTATAACTCTTCAGTTTGGTCACTAAGATTTGAAATCAATAGAATTAGTCCCTGAGTTTATCTACCATCAATCATTTTGGTCCTTCCTTACAAATCTCTATTAAATAAGAATATAATGACCAAAATATCCTTAATTTTTGTCAAATCATTTTGGCACGTTGTTTATTAAATTAAGGGTATATTTGTCATTCTGATCATTATTTAACATACACGGAAGGACCAAAATGATTGATAATGGACAATCTTAGAGACCATTTCTATTGATTTCAAATCTCAGGTATCAAAATGATGTGTTATGCAAATCTTAATGACCCTTTTGGCTAAAAAAACCGAATAAAAATTAACAATGAATGTATGAGAAGTAAAAATAATTGTGTGAATAGCACCACCATAAATAAATGGCCAAGTGTCAACAAGATAAGTCATGACGAGGCAACAAAGAATTTGAGTACAGAAAATTTGAACTCTCAATTTACCTACCTAGAGAAGGTTTTAATGCAAAGCCGACGTCATGAAAATTTTACTTGGCTGAAGGGTGTGATTTTATTAACAGCATTAAGAATTATTGAGATATATCATCTTTTAACGATAGAATTTGTCTTAATTTCTAATTAAATGTTGTTCTTCGTGCCTTCGTTTTCTCCTTTTGCACTTCTTTCAGTTATGGCTCTCAAGTCTAGAAGTGGAGCCATGCAGAAGCTGATAAGCATGTCATGGCCTTGGCCCCAACCGCAGCAGCTCTTCCCCTCAGTTCCAACCCCACTCAACATACAAGAGATGCTAGTTTCGTTACTGCTTCAGTCTCAACTAATTTACTGAATCAAAAATATAGAGAAGAAAACAGAAATTCGAAATCACTACCTTCCAAATCTCTCCTCCTCATTCATATTAACGAAAGAGTAAGGCTAGAAAGAGATCAAAATTTTAATTAAACTAAATAACATACAAGTTGATAATTAGATTATTACTTAACTATTGATAAACGTACTCATTTCTTGTTTGTGACACGTCATTTGGTTTGCAAATCTTGGCTAGAAATTTAGTCTCCCTAGCATTACAGGAAATGAGCACATTTATCAACGCTTGAGTAATAATCCAATCATCAACTTCCATATCATTTAGTTTCAAATTTTTATTTACACATTTAGTCTTCCCAGCATTACCCAAATTTTAATCTGATGTGATTGTGGATGATTGAGTATTACTCAAGTGTTGATTATCGTGCTTATTTCTATTGGTGAGACATATTTTGATTTAAAATTTGGATAATGCTAGAGAGACTAAATTTTAAATTAAAATTTATAAACTAAATGATGTTGTTCTTGATGATTAAACTATTACTTAAGAGTTGATTAACGTACTTATTTCCTATTGAAGAAACATCATTTAGTTTATAAATTTAGTTTTTTTAGCATTATCCTTAAAAATTTGACGTTCCTAATATTATTGTTAACAACTACATGCATATTTTTCATTTTTGCCTATCGTAACAGGAGTTGCACTATTTTCATTCACAATTGTCCAGGTTCTTAACCCAGAATCTCTGACAACGAAGTGATGTGTTAGAACAAATTATGTTGCCAAAGAAACTTGGAATTTTACCGTAAAAATCAAAATTATAAGGAGCCCAATTTACTAATAAGTTTTTGTAAAAAAATTTCTATCAATAATGTGAAATTTATTCTTAACACATCACTTAAACTGTGATAAATTTTAGGGTAAATTACAAAAAATTACCTTAACTATGGGTCGAACGACACTTTCATACCTCATCTTTTTAAAATGACAATGTCATACCTTAACTTACATTTTTGTGACAATGTCAGACCTCCGTCAATTTTTCTGTTAATTTCTTTGTTAAGTGTTGATGTGGCTAGAGATAGGGTCCACTCACTAATCTAACTGGATTAAAAAATAATTAAATATATTTTTAATAATTAAATATTATAAAATTAAAAAAATTAAGAATAAAAAAAACAAAAAAAAATTAAAATGACCTAGGGGTGCGGGCATCCCCTTTCCTCCACCCGCACCAACCTTCTTCTTCTCTTCAACAACCTCCAAACTCTTCCATGTCCCCCCAACCTTCCCCAACCCACCCCCATCCCCCACATCTTCCCTTCCCCTACCTTTTTCCGTCCCTTTCGAACCCAAACCCTAACCCTAATTCGCCATTTTCAAACAGAAAACCCCAACCTTCCCCACCCGTCCACCCTTCCCCACCTGTCCCCCCAACCTTCCTCCACCACCCTTCCTTTCTATGGGCTACCTGCAGCTCTTCCCCCATCCCCCCTCCCTGCAACCTGCAGCTCTTCCTGCGCGCTGCTCGTTTGGAAACACGACGATCGGAAAATCTTTGACGCATTTAAGAACGCCAGGTCGTCGATGAGTGAGTCAAACATCGCCGGATTCTGATGTGGCGGGTAGCGAGCAGGGGCTTCCTCTTGAGCTCAATGAGGACGACAATGGGTTTTTAGTGGATGAGAATCCAAGCTTCGGAATTCCCAACGGCAGGAGGCACAATAGCTTCGTGAGGGAGGATAGGGACTTCATGGCATTGAGGAGAAAAAGTGTCAACGTTTCGTCAATTTCCGAGCCACCGAAGAGAGAGATGAGAGAGAGAGGATGGTAGAGGAAGGTTGGGGGGGACGGGTAAGAAAGGTTTCTGGGTTTTGGGGATGCAGGTGTCCAGAGAGAGAAGAGAGAAAGGCGAGAGCGAGAGGGGCGAGAGCGAGAGGAGCGAGAGAGAGATGGTGGATCCCACAATTTTATATAAAAAAAATAATTTTATTTTTAATTTTGTAATATTTAATTATTAAAAATATATTTAATTATTTTTTAATCCAGTTGGATTAATGAGTGGGCCCCGTCTTTAGCCACGTTAGCACTTAACAGAGAAATTAACAGAAAATTTGACAGAGGTTTGACATTGTCACAAATTCGTAAGTTGAGGTATGACATTGTCATTTTAAAAAGATAAGGTATTAAAATGTCGTTCGACCTATAGTTAAGGTGATTTTGTGTAATTTATCCTAAATTTTAAGTATAATACATGAACAACATAAATAGATGAAATGCCAAAGATTGTTGAACTTCACACGTAGAACAATCTACTTTGTATATCATGTTGTCAAGTGGCTAAAGATAGGCAACATTGTCCCCATCTAAGATTTCACCTACAATAGACATGTGTCATTGGATGTCTGATAGCATGTCTTTTTTCTCCAATTGTCGCCATGCCAATGTGTCCCAGTGCTACGATGCCTCTGTGTACGCAGGTACATATATATCAACATTTCTCGGCAGGTTTTTGTGGACTCACTCTTGCCTACGTGTCGTTTCTAAGGAGCTCTAGAAAAACGACATGGTAGTGGGCCAATGGGAGCACCCCAATCATAAGCACCATTTTCCACGTGGCATTTGTTCAAACAATGTGTTTGTAATAATGTTGGCCATGCATGGACCATAGTTTGGATGAAGATGGACCTCCTTATTAGGGTTTCTACCTTTTTCTTGAAGGCTTGGAACTTTCACATCTTACAGATTCGTTTTTGCCACTTTCATCACTAAAAGAAAAAGAAGAGAGTGTCCTGTAAGTTTACATTTTGTACATTTAGGGTTACAGACGCATCTTTCTTGGAATCTGACCTGATCCCTTAAAATAATGTCAAAATATCCTTTTGGTTTGGTAAATATGAACTATGGGAGTGGTTCATACATGCACGCAATGAAAAGACCAAAACTATACGTATGTATAGTCACTTGCAACATCATGTCTACGATTGTACTTTTGTTATGAGAGGTTATACATATAGAATATTTCAAAGTTTGTCTTGATTTGATATTGTGCGCTTAGGCGGTACGAAGCAGTGTTTTTAACTAGTTATTAATATTGTATTAAATTAGAAAGCTGATTTAACTATGCATGAGCATAGCATATGACGTTTTATCGTAATGACAAAATGTAATATTATGTTTATGCATTCTGGTGTGGGTTTAATTTTCACTGATT